GAGGGTGAAGATATGATCAATACATCCTCGACCAGAACGAAAACCAGCCTGCTCCTCGCGAGTCAATCTTTCTCGGGTTTTGAACAACCTACGAAGTATGACGGAAATCAATAGCTTGGATGCAATCGAAAGTAGACTTATCCCCCGATAGTTGTTACAGGAACGACGCGAACCCTTTTTAAAGATAGGGACAACTATCGACTCATTCCATGACGTTGATACACTCTCTAGCTCCCAAACCTTTGTAAACAACGTCGTCAGTTCCTTAGTCAGAAAGTCACCATCAGCTTTAAAAAGAGCCGGAGGTAAGTCATCTGGGCCAGGTGATTTGTAGCGCTTCAAGAGTTGGAGTTCCTTGCGGACTCCCGCCTCATTTGGTGGATCAGTCGTCACCGGCCATGGAGGGCAGGACAGTCTGACCGATGTTGCCGGAGCAGCAGGCCAGTTGAACTGCCCTTCGAAAAATTCTGCCCATCGTCCGAGACGTCGATGGATGTTAGTGATTGGCATCCCATCATCCTCGCAGATTGTTTCACTCACACCAGACTTCTTGCTGCCAGTGGCTCGGATGAGCTGGAAGAGCTTCCGGTAGTTACCAGATGCAGCTGCTGCTTCCAGCTCATTAGCACGCTCCGACCACAAGGCTTCTCGGTCCTTACGCAAGCCTTGCCCAATTTCCTTACGTAAAATCCTTCGTTTGTGGTCAAACTCACGGTCACCCGGAGTAAACCGACGGGCTTCAATGAGTTGTAAGGAACCAGAAGAAACCCAGTGCTTATAGGTGGGACGTTTCGCAAACCCACAACTGACTGTACCCGCCATTTTGATGGCGTCATGCAATTGCAACCAATGCTCATCTATACTTTTCGGTGGAATGGTAGCTAGCCTAGAAGCTAGCTCGGTTTGATACTTACTTGCAACAGAAGTTGCAACCAACTTGCTAACATCAATCCGTTGGTGGCGGTCACTTCGTTGTCCACTGAAAAGTAAGGCAAGATTGGCGCAGAACAAGGCATGATCAGAGTCCAGATAGGTACTCGAAAAGGAGCGGCAGTCTTGTACACAATCACGCCAGCGGTAGCTGATCGCGATGTGATCAATCTGAGTCCAGGCTCAAGATGCAGAGGGTGCATGCCAGGTGGCACATCGGCGATGACTGTGCCGAAAGTTAGTGCTAGCCAGAAACAGGTTGTGGTCTGTGCAAAGTTGCAGTAGACGGTCCCCGTTATCTGACCTGCGACCAACGAGTCCCCATCGGCCACCTAAACGACTCTCTTCTGTGCCTAGACACCCGACCTGAGCATTCAAGTCTCCGGCTAGTACTACAATATCTGTCGAACGCACTTTCTGGAGAAGAACAGATAACTGGTGGTAAAACTCATCCCTGATTGCATCCGGGCTGCAATCTGTCGGGGCATAGGCGATGACGAAAAGACATCGTTTCTCACGCCGATTTCTTCTCACTTTGATGGAACTTTCTAATCTAACAGCACATAACCGACTGTTAATGGGGATCCAATCGACTAGTGCTGCCTCAGCTCTAGCGCTTATTGCGACGGAGAAGATTTATAGCTCAGCTGGATGATTTTGATAGAGTTTTGTTCTCTGAGCTGAATGGCTTAGTCGAGGAGCTTTTGTGGTTATTCTGGACGATATCATCAGCAAACACTTCAGGTAGTTTGTACTGATGATATCGGTTCAAAATAATAATAAAATCTTCATGAACAAACCATCCAGCACAGAGAGCTAAAGTCCTGCTTGAATATCTGTGCTAACTGTTCCTGTCATCTAGAGATTTTAACAAGTTATCTTCTTTGTTTGTTTTAATACATCATTATGTTCATGAGTTGCATAACCTATTCGGATACGTTTATGAAACGTTCACGATCTTTCACTGTACAAGTTATAAAAGAGCCCAATCAGAGACATCGTAGTTACTGGCAATAAACATTCAAAAGCATGAACATCATTCAGATGTCTCAAAAAGCGCATGTCCGACGCTCTAACTGGGTTGGTGGACATGGAGAGTCCACCTAGAGGAGTTGGAAAACCCTCATTCCAAACCAATGGAGCACATGGACTCCAGGATTCTAAGGAAACAAATGCCGTATAAACCTATTGTTGAAAACTGGACAACATGGGACTACATCTCCGGACGTTACTTCACTGCCTTGTGGATCAGACCATTAGGTTGAAGGCTCCGAGTGTGGCTCCCTAAGAAAACCACCTTCTACTTAGGTACTCGGGCAGTATCCCAGCTCTCATACAAATCGAATGATTTATGTGGCACATATCTATTTGGTGCCTCCCTGTACCAATGTTTATGTGTTCAAATAAATAAACAAGTAAACTCTATGGGTCGATATAAATTTCAAGCGTAAATTGAAATAAGGTATTTCATGATTATTGGGATAATTTTATGATTATTTGGGCATCTGTATGCATTTCGGATATATAAACCTAACTTCTCTCAAATTCACTTAGTATTATTGTTTACTTGAACCTTCCCATTGTTATGTAGAACTACAATTCCTCAGTCTCTTGTTGGCATATGTGCGCATTGCCTCCTGGATTCCATCGCTACCCACTATCCATCTTTGCTAACTTATCTCAGTCTAGTACAATTGGAAGGTTGAGATAGTATTACACGATTTCTTTCGTCCCATTTACTGAAACCAAATCAAACCGAAGTCTTATGAAATCATATTACCTACGAAACTAGATTCATTTTTCACAAAACAACGATTCCCTTTTTATAGGATACTATTGTAGCTTGAGAATACTGGTTGATATCATGTGTTAAAGTCGCTTATCGGAATTTCAACTATTCCGTTAATAACCTAGCATTCTAGACTTGATTAATTACACTTTTGATCGACACAGTTAACCTTGAGCTGGAACAAACTAAGCTTGCATCTATCCACCATTGCATAATCCTTTCTCTATTTCTTGCCTTGAATCTTAAGAAAAGTCAGCAGCCAGCTTTAGTTATTCAACTCAACTATGATTCATACAAAAGGGCAAAATTGTGATCACACATCAATGCAATTGGAAAATTACAGTAATGGCATAACTATGCCATAAGTGAAAAAGAACTGAGTAATAAGTTCGTAATAAGTTAACAAATTAAGAAAGATACAACGTATAATGAAGGTATTGTATGTCACAGAGAAGATTACAAGCAGGAGAACAAACATAAAAACAATAACTTGAGGTAGGAAGACAGTTCTGAAAGTTCGACTTTTCCAAAACTTATCCCGCCAAAACAGATAAACAAAATTCGTCACATCAAAATGGAATGGTAACATTGAGAGGCAATAGCAAAGAGAAGTGGACGTCTAGCGTTTTATGGATGAACTCATCTGAGTAAGTTGGGAAATACTATTTGTATACCAATAATGCATGTGTACTACAAAATCTTGAAGGAACAACTAGTGTACAAGCCAACTTTAATCACTGACTGGCATTTCCTAAAGTTTCTTCGCGATCTTCTTCAGATCAGATTACTAGATTAAAAGGTTGAGGATTAGTTCCTATTTATTTCGGTTAAGCTGTCTCAACAATATCATCTTATCATTTATACAAATCACGGAAATAGGGAAACTATGAAACACTATTTTCGTGTACATTTCTATTGTACATAAGGATTTTGTACAGATTGTATAATTCCAAATGTTGAACCATTAGAAATCACAGAACTGCGCTGACCTCCATACACACAGACACTTAAGTAACAGGTAAACAATCCCTAATGTGTTTAGATTGATATCATGAATGGATCAATGTTAGACCACCATTGACAACCTGGAAGCACTGGACGGCCGTCTCGTCCTGTTGTGAGACTCCTTAATAGTGCGCATCCACGATCCTACTCCCAAGATTCAAACGCAGGGCCTTCAGTCTTGCACGCGAACGCTTAACCTACTGGACCACTGAGCCGGCATGCAATGGTGTTAATGTCCAACCTCAACCAATCCACGAAGTTGCGCGACCATCTTCCATTGTAATGAGCTAGACACCTGTTTCTACCCGACACGGATTATACATATGGTGTCATTTAGCCAAATAAACTTCCTTTCTCACTCATCTTTTATTTCGAGTAACCAGATTCGCATATATAATGAGTTAGTATCAGTATCAACTTTCAAATACCGTATGTCAAGACATTACCACCCAATAAATTTCGAAAAGAGTTTATACATTTGTACTCTGCCATACACACACACACTCTTTTGAGTGGTGTTGCTGGGAATGGGGTAAGGGTTCGGAAATCCTCTGATCAATTGAAAATTATGCATAAATTAAGTTTTTTTAGAATATACGGTAAAATATAAACACAAATATAGCTTTATATATATATATTTCTTATGTGTGGGCGTAGATAATAATTGGTTGTCCGCTTAGACGGATATGTAGATAGTCTGACAGGTGTCGGATGAGCTATATATTCCTCTATCATTATTATTAGGACTCATTAATATCAGATGGGTTTTGTGGAGATTGTAGTAGTTTCAATGGTTAAGATCATGAGCCAATTGAAGCTAGATCACCATGGAAAACCTGGAAGCACTGGACGGCCGTTTCGTCCTATTGTGGGACTCCTCAGCAGTGCACATCCACGACCTCGTCCCCTGCGAGGTCCGAACCCAGGACCTACTGGTTTCGTGCGCGAGCACTTAACCACTAGACCATTGAGCCGGCATCCAATGGTGTTAATGTCTAACTTCAACTAATCCACGAAATTGAGCGACACATTCACTCATTATTGATTGTTCATTACTGTTGGATTGTGTCGAGTTTTTGGTGTGGAAATAGATTTACATTGTGGTCAGGCTAATCACGGTGTTCTTGATCATCTTAATTGTGTTGAAGTCCTGTAGAATAATAGACACTGGATGGGATGAAAATTTAGTGTAGATATTCATCTAAAAGGTAAATTGACGTCTCATACGTGTAAACATGGCAACCCAACCATTATAACATTAGACGAAGTAAAAACTGAGAATTATAACAATTTCTATTCTAAACATTTCATATTTCTATACAACACATACAAAAGATGAAAATCCATTCAATCGAAAGTGTTTAAACGGGCAACACAATATAAATGATGTATACATACTACCTAAAAGGTATATATATATATATATATTCCTAATTGTTTCAATGAATGAATCGAAGTTAATTCAATCACCAGAATCAGTGGAATAAACAGATTATCCACTATTCAATTCAATATGGTAAATGTTGTTTTGTATATTATAAAGAATAAAACACAATAATATATTTACTTCCAAATATAATTTTTTGGTAGATCAGCCCTGAAATTAGTTTTTATAATCCATGGATTAAACATTATTTCAAGTATACTTTTATATTTTGGATTATATGCCGGTGGTATACAAGTACGAGGATCCTAAAAGGAGAAAAGAAATGATAAGATACTTACATAGAAAATAAACAAACAAATGATAATAAGGAGAGATTTAAATCAAATCGGAATTTATGCAAACACACACACAATGTGAGATATGCTACGGTATGGTCAAAGGTGAGGAAAGTCAGCTCTCCTTCTTGAAATGCTCTTTTATATGTCCACGTGTATACAACCACTCTGCTGGGGGAGACCTACTGATCAGTGTCTTCTCGCACCATAGACGTTGTTTAGCGAAATTGAGAGGATGAGAAGCGAATGTCCGTTGATGGTTTTAACCAGGTTGGTAGATATAGAGGATCTATCTAGGGCAGTTGAAAAATTCTCATTCCAAACTAGTGGTTCACATGGCCTCCAGGATCCTGAAGAAATAAACGACGTGTAAATATATCCTTGTTCGCCGGCTGCTATACAACTGTATCTCCTGACATTGCTCCACTAGATTGGACCTCTAAATCAAAGGCTCAGGGAGTGGTCCACTAAGAAAACCAGCCGCTTTAGTTTGGGCACACTGGAAGTATTCCAGCCCTCGTACCAACGTTTATGTGTTTAAATAAATACAGTATACTACTTATGTTGACAGATATAAGCAGTATATGGAATGCCTGTGACTAGAAGATTGAAATAAAGGGGCAAGATAAGAAAACTTAAGGCAATCAATATAACAACAGGAATTAATGGGAGATGGGAGAATAATGTATTTAATCTATGATTTGTATATATTACCAAGACGCTCTGTAATTTTGATTATCCCTATCAAGTTTTCGTTCAGTTGAACAATATCATACACATTATAAATGTAGTTTATTAGATTACTTAATAATAAGCGAATTCATGTCATACATTTACACACCATTGTATTCTAACTTTCTAGATTATTAAAATCATTTAATAATTTAGCTTTGAAAGTGAGACCATTAATCTACTATCTTAATCCTAAGGTGAAGTCTTAATTTTCAAAGGGTAATTCTAACATAATTAATTAGTTAGTCTTATCTCATTGAGTTGTGATTGACCAGATGTTATAATTCTCTTTTATTATAACAACCCAGCTATTCTTATTGCTTAGTGATCTCGGACACTAACTTCACTCGACAACTCCCCAAATCAGAACACAGTTGAACAGGAAAAGAGATTATATTTCAAGTACCAACAGTAGATAGAAGTAAGAAGCACAACAGGGAAAACGTTAGTATATTTATAGTTTTTATATGAGAAGATTCCTAGAGTCTTCTTCAAGTATCGACTAGTGTTGATTGTTATCAGAATGGGTTTTGTGGAGAGTTATAGAAATTTCACAGGTTGAAATCATGAATCGATTGAAGCTAGACCATCATGGAGAACCTGGAAACACTGGACGGCCGTTTCGTCCTAGTATGGGACTCCTCAGCAATGCGAATCCACGATCCCGCACCACACGGGGCTTGAACCCAGGACCTACTGGCTTCGCACGCGAGCACTTAACCAGTAGACCACTGAGCCAGTGTTCAGCAACACAATTATCCATGAAGCATACTTTAATCTAATCTATGTCCCGCTAACATCAGATTACATTAAGAATCAGTCAAATTTATTGATTGTCACTTAAGTTCACCTTCATCATTCAACTCTATTAGATGATGATGATTATTATTATAATGATGAATTACAACAACAACAACAAAAAAAAAGGAATAAACTCACTAACCATATGAATAGCTGCACCTTGTAATTCTTGTGCTTCATAAGTATAAGTTAATTCATTTAAATCCATAGGAAATTCTACTTGATCAAATACTCTTGTAAATTTTTCATGAGCATTTGAAAAACTTAAAAAGAAAGAGAAGAAAGAGAAAAGAAAATCGATACAAATTTATGAGACTGATTTTTCAAATAAGAAAATGATGAATAGTAACTTTGATAATATTTGCATATTAGTTGCTTTAATCTTTCCCCCCTCCCTCTTATTGATGTTTAGGATTGTAATGAATGAATCTTGAGATGGTGGAGAAGATTTGTAGCTCAGATTGATGATTCTAATGGTTTGGTCTTGTAGCTTTCATCGTTCTTCTAAACAATATCATCAGCACAAACTTCAGAAAGAAATGAAGTGTTCGAATTTCTCCATATAAGGTTCATAGCTTGTTCTGTAGACCTTGATGCTGATTGGTTCTTGTTGACCTTAAATTTGTCATTGTTTACTTCATTGTTTTGACTGTATCTCCCATTGGTTTGGTTTTTGTTCCTATATTTGTGTATAATTTTCCTTCCACGTGTATTGATATAAGTGAGGGAATGTCATGGCGTTTGACTGCTAATTGGTGTTCATGCAGGCGAAGATGAAGTAAGCGTCCGCTTTGTTCGATGTAGTGTTTTTCGTAGTTGGCACAATTTATTTTGTAGATGATGTTTGATTTGCCTTCTTTTGTCATTTCACTCTTTGGTTTGCATAGGATTGATTGTAGTGATTTTCTTCGTTTGTGTGCCACACCTATTCCGAAGGTTTTCAGCAGCCTTGTTTTCGTTTCTGATATGCCTTTTATGTGTGGTAGGGAGATCCTTTTGTTGATTTCTGTACTTGCCTTGAATTCTGATGATGCATGTGGCTGGTATTTTTTGATGAAGTTGATTGGGTGGCCGTTCTTTTGACATATGTCCTCCAGGTATTTCTTTTCATTTTTTTTCGTGCTGCCACTGTGTCCTCACCCTCTTGAACAAAGTGTGCATGCAGTTGATTTTGTTAGCTCTTGAGTTGTTGCTATGGTGGTTGAGAATTCGAAAATTATGCACAAACATAGGAACAAAAATCAAACCACAGAAGTAAACAATGACAAGTTCAAGGTCAACATCGAGGTATACAGGACAAGCTGTGAACCACATATGGAGAAATTCGAACACTTCACTTCTATCTAAAGTTTGTGCTGATAATATCGTTCAGAAGAACGATGAAAGCTCCACAACCAAACCACCCACCTCAGAGAACAAAATTCCATTAAAAAAATGGATGTCTCTTCTTTTGGTATATATGTATCCTGTAGGGATTGCTTTGATATCACCACTAAGTCATAAATAGTATAAACAAAGACGGATTCGAATCACAGAGTGAACATTAACAAGCCTAAGATGCAAGTACATTCGGTTGACGAGTCCTAAATAGGATGAAACACGCGTCATGGATTCCACTACTAGCCACTATCCTTCTTTGCTTATAATAGTGGAAAATGTTTATGAATTTCGACAGAGGATTATTTTAATGTTACTATTAGCTACTATAATCTAATAGGAAATAAATAACTTGAAGGGGGTATATTCAAACCACAAATTAGATATTTGTTTGTTATAGTCTATAACGTTAGAAGCGGTTTAGTGATTAAGGATGAATTTGTGAATTATATCACACTTATATCAGATTACTTTCTTACATATAAAGTATGGCGCTTAAATTCAAATACACAAATATGTTCTAGGTAAATAAGTTGAAAACTTTCCCATATTTCAGTATGTTCGATATGATATGTCTGCTACTGTAATACCTAATTAATGACTTCTTAGTTACTTTCTATAGTCTTAAACTGTTTCAACATTTCAACTCGAATAATAGAGAAAACAAGTGAAATGTAAATGAACACTTTATTCCAGAATTATTAATGATGTACAGAAAATCAAGTATATTCATAATTACACGTAGCTTCAATCTTCTAGAACTTTCTGGAAACATGCTAAATATAGTAATGACACAGGTAATTATCCAATCAAAAGATGAAATATAACCCTTCTTATTTATTTTAACACAAACATATTGGTACAAGGAGGCACCAAATACATATGCGCCACACAGATCTCATTTGATTTGTGCGAGGGCTATGATACTACCCGGGTGCCTAAACCGAAGCAGGTGGTTTTCTTAGGAGGCCACACCCGGCGCTTTCGAACTACAGGTCTGACCCATAAGGCAGTGGAGCATCGTAAGGAGATGCAGTCCCATGGTAGCCGGTGACCAACGATTGATTCCTACGTCATTTGTTCCTTCAGGACACTGGAGCCCATATGCACCATTGGTTTGGAATGAGGGTTTTCCAACTCCTCTAGGTGGACTCTCCATGTCCACCAACCCAGTTAAAGCGCCGGACATGCGCTTTTCGTCCTCTCGATTTCTTAAAAAACACCTCCGCCACGAGAAGGCAGTGAGTAGGACTTCCCTGACAGAGGCTATATACGCGTGGCCATGTGAGAGCATTTGGAGAAGGAGAGCGAACTCTCCCCACTCTTGGCTGTACCACGGCATTTGGGGGAATATTTTCATTTTCTTAGATATATCTGAGAAGCTTCTATTTCTTGTTGATTGAAAAAACACACATTTACAAGTATATTTTAAGCTTCAATAGACTTTAATGAGAGGTATGTTAATACTTCCAAACAAAATGTGCCATGAGCTTCATATATTTCTTGTTTATAAGTCTTTGATGATTATTTGAAACCAGGAAACAATGAACCAATACCGTCTTGTTTTAGTAGGGAACTCAGTAATGCTAACTTTACATAGGTAATTATTAGAAATCTCAATACATATATAACGAAGATGGTATTTTTTTACTGAATGATATATTCGCAGTTAGATGATAGTTAGTAAAATATGTGACAATAAATAATCAATGGACAGGCATTCAACGATGTTAATGTATGACTTCAACCAATTCACGATATTGCGCGACCATCTTCCATTGTGTTCGATGGGTAACTGTCTCACAACAGACACTGTTGAACTCCACTGACCACGATTTCTCATTAGAACTCTAGGAGCTCCATCTTGACGCTAGTCACTAATGAGCACATGATTATTATCAGTATAGGGATTTCTGGAGATTTTAGTATTTCCACAGTTGAATTCAGGAGTCGATCTACCATTGAAAACCTGGAAGCACCGAACAGCCGATTTGTCCTAGTATGGAACTCCTCAATAGTGTACACCCAAAATCCCACGCCAAGGACTGGAACACAGGACCTTTGGTCTCGCACGCAAACGCTTAACCTCTAAACCCCCCAAGCTAGCATTCAACGATGTCTAGCTTCAATCAATTCGAGATTTTGTGTGATTATCTACCACTGTCTTTGGCGGGTAACTGCCTCACACATGACACGGTGTAAGTGGTGGAAACCTGGAAGGGTCTGAGGTTAAGCATTCATGTGAGACCAAAAGTCATCGATTCAATTTGTGGCGGTGCAGTTCATATGCTTTGGTAAAGAGTCCCGTACTAGGATGAAACACCTGTCCAGTGAAACCCAATTTTCTATGATGATCTAGCTAAGATCAGTTCGTGATTTAAACTACAAAAAACATCAGTGTCAATTTGTATGATCACCTAGTGACTAGAGAGTCCTACAGGGTCCCCCGGAATCTATAATTATTTATTTAAACATAAATAAATATCCTAGTACAACACAATGTATCAAAAAATATATCCATCACACAAATCAACCGATAATACTGTAGAAGAACAAGGGAAGGAGTACGATTACTAAAGAAAATGAACAAAACCAGTATTTAATAAAAGATATAAATGAATTAAAAATATAGTCAAGAAAGACTCATTTTAGTTAATGAAGATGATCCAATTATTACAAATAGTATGGTGAAAAACAACAACGAGATCGCCCACTGACTTTGATTCTGAACTATATCTCATAATCCATTTTTTGTGTTGGTTGTTTGTATCTTCATATTGATGATTAGGATTGCAATTGATCAGTCTCTTTTGATATACCTGTATCCTGTGTGGATTGTTTCGATATTGCCATAAATCACAAACATTATAAGTAGAAATGGATAGTGGCTAGCAGTAGAATCCGAGACGCGCGTTTCGTCTCATTTGGGACTTATCAGCTGGACGTGCGTGAATCTCATTCCGAGACTCGAACATAAAAACGTTCAATTAAAAAGCCATTACGTTATCCACTTAGCTACTGAGTCCAAACAGCCACCAACTTGTACATTGAGTTCGAGTCCTGGAATGAACACTAACAAGCCTGGGATGCAGGTACATCAAGCTGACGAGTCCAAAACAGGACGAAGTTCGTGTCCTCAATTCCACTGCTAGCCATCATCTTTCTCTGTTTATATATTTGATAATATCACAAAAGGTACAGTGTTGAACAATCCTTGAAACTATAAGTAGGCCCCATCATCTCTAATCATCTTTTCCATTTAATCTGATGATTGGTAAGTAATAAATGATATAAAAGTTCTTAGGATGAACAATAAACTAGGACACATTTAAATGCCCTTTATTTATAAATTAAAAGTCAAACTGATATGAATCCAGGTCTAAATAATGAATATTTTTCTTACTAACAAAATGTCAAATAACTAAATGACAAATCATTTCAAGATCAATCCACTTACTCGAGTCTGGAAGTTGTTATACTACTTGCGTATCTTAAAGCAAGACGCCATTGGAGAAGTTTGTAATCATCACGCATTAAATATTGACCACTTAAGTCAATTTCAGTGGCATTTTGTGCAATCTTTAAAAGAAATATATTGAATAAAAGTCAAAAATGTACTCAAATAGTAGAAAACGATTTATTCTAGATTGAATCAGTTGGTACTGTGTATATGTATTAAGTTGATGACTTTGTGGAGAAATGTGTACTCACAACTCTCACTCTCTCACTATATATATATATATATATATATATATATATATATATATATATATATATATATATACAACTCAAAGCAACTGTCAACCAACATCAAGGTCAGAATTTTCAATACAAATGTCAAGACAGTTCTACTGTATGGAGCAGAAACTTGGAGAACTACGAAAGTCATCATCCAGAAGATACAGGTGTTTATTAACAGTTATTTACACAAAATACTTCACATCCGTTTACCAAACACCATCAGCAACAACCTACTATGCGAGAGAGAACAAACCAGATCCCAGCGGAGGAAGAAATCAGGATGAAGTGCTGGAAGTGGATAGGACACATATTGAGGAAAGCATCCAACTGTGTCACAAAGCAAGCCCTCACTTGAAATCCTCAAGGCCAAAGGAGAAGAGGAAGATCAAAGAACACATTACATCGAGAAATGGTGAGAGATATGAGGAGAATGAACAAGAATTGGATAGAATTAGAAAGGAAGGCCCAGGACAGAGTGGATTGGAGAATGCTGATCAGTGGCCTATGCTCAATTGGGAGTAACAGGCGTAAGTAAAAAATGAAATTAACACCATAGAAAATATTTGAGTGTAAATTATAAAAATCCGTTTTATTGGAGCTAGAAAATAAATCAGGGATAATATCCATATGTATTGTTGAGTATAGTACTATTGAATTGGTGAATTCGTGAGAAATTGAAGGTCATTATGCACAATATGAACTCACCATCTATAATGGAATTCAGATGCCCAAAAAGAACATAAAAACAAGATTTTAAAAAGGTATCATAAATATTAATGAACTGTTTTTTCTTTCAAAACAAAAAAAAACTTACAATAAAGATATCATCATCATCGTAAACATCCACTGTAGAACCATCAACAGTGAGGATATGAGAGTAACGGTCCATATTTTCTATATAGTAATTTCCAAGTAAGTCTTCGTAAGCATTTAAGAATTCATCAGTCAGATTGCGTGCGTTTACCTCCCAAGGCTAAAGAAAGTGTTAATCAAACATTCCTTTAGTAATATATATATTGTTTGGAGTAATTGGACAGAGTCCAGATAAAATAGTCTATAATCTCATACAAATCTATGCCGGTTCAAGTTGCTACACTATGCAACAGTATAGTAGGAGTATATGAGGAAGTACATTCATAGTGAATAAGTGAAATATATACAACGGTGATGTAGATAAACGAGAAATCATAGGTTTCACATGTACAGAAACACCAAGAAGTGAACACATATGAGCTATGGCGATTGTTTTGGGATCAAATCACACAGGGTTTACAAATAACATTTGATTATCACCAGTGAAACTCAGTTTGAAAGTATTCTCCTATTTATATGAATCAGACCATTACTCCATAAATTAATTTATAGAGTGAATTTATGTATTAATTTGGCTGTACTTTTTTTCTCTATATGACTAGTAACTGTGTACATGTTGTAACATGTGTTCGAGCTATTGCAAACCAAACATATTCACAACTTGACCAGATTCTTTCTATTCAGTCAGTAATCAACTTACAGCCTGGAGCAAATGTGAGCTAGCAGAAGTCTTCATACCACATTAGAACGACAAGATGAATAGCAAACGAGACGAAATAATGTAGTAACGACGGTAGTAAGGAAAACTAAGGATTGAGAATGTGGTTCGAGAAGATGAAATGAAAAGAAATATATCAAGGAATGTTAGGTGGTTGGATGTGTCAAAAGGAAGATCTACTAAATCTAGGTCTCAAGCTAGTTGACATTCATCGCCGAGGTGTACCTATATTCTTGAAGGGACTTGTGCACTCTGACAGATTAGATCTTGTGTCACCTAGGTGGGGGACGTTGCAACTGAGCTATTCGGGGTGCAACTAACCAGATGTAGAAGTGAGTTCTTTATGATCGATTGATCAGTGAGTAGTGACCAGTTTCATGTTTGTCAAATCCTTTTTATTATTGATCGAATTCTATAGACTAAGGAATGAATACTGGGACTCAACATATACAGTAACATTGTGACAGATTCTGAGCAATTCCACTAAACGTTTTCAATTACTGATGGTGGTTATCGTGTGGATAGTCTTCTACCAAAATGACTCAGATCAACAGTCAATGACTTTATGAGCTGATATCAAATTTTAGTTATCCTTAAACTTATTCCTACTCCAGCCAACATTGAATGTCGAGGTAGGAGGCTATTGGGCATATGTAATACATACCTCAGCCACCTCAGTTCAATGGGGATTCACAACTTCACCAATTGATTCGCTACCCTTGTCTAGGTATCCTACGGTTAGGCAATGACAAATAAGAAGGTAGGGATCTTCCCTCTCCTCATTGTTTAAAATTATGTGTCCAATTTTAAAATTACTCAACTGATGGTATCACCACACACCGACAATACTTCGAAAGCACATAAAATCCGAATACTCTTCGTTTTAAAATATCTACTTTCAAGTGTAATGCTTTATAACGACATATTAGAATGAGGTAGACAGATTAATATATATTACGTTCTTGATATCTACTTAATAATATACAGGAGAGAACTTGGCTCGACCTAGGTTAAGGCTTTGACACGATAATCTAATTGGTTCGCCGTCGAGGCTAAAAGTGAGTGAATCCGAACCAAGACTAATGGCATTGAGCAGGGACGAAAACTATTCTGTCACCTGATTGGTTGACAAGTCCTGCTTCGGCCTGAACACCCGGGCAGTATCCTAGTCCACACACAAATCAAGTGGCTTGTGTAGTGCATATGTATTCGGTGCCCCTTTGTACCAATATTTCTGTGTTCAAATAAATAAATATTAATTAATTAATTAAATATTAGGGTATAAAAATAGAGTACAAAAGGTTACGTTTAAATTACAGTAGCTTTGGAATAGAAAAGGTTATGAGAATGAATGATACATTAAACGGCAGCTTATGGTTTGTAGAATCACTAGGAACAAAAGTGCATGTATTTTACAAACTTTGAATTAAGCAGAATAATGTTCCCGAGAATACCTTTCGTCATTCGACATGGCTCCTTTATTTCTTTACTTACATCAACACACAACATACTTAGATTTTGAAAGGTAGTTAGAAATAGTTAGGAAGTTAACATTCCAGGTTAATCTTACAAGTAAACATTTAGATGACGCAGGTAAAGTGACAGTCAAAGGAACTTATTTATCTAAACACATACATTGGTACAAAAGAGCACCGAAACATGTATATGCCACACAACTGAATTCGTGTGTAGGTTGGTATACTCTCTGGATATCTTTAGTCCCTACAAAACAAATACCATTCATATTAAAGCCCACTGACATTTGCTAACTAATGAGATGCATTAACAACTACTAAAAACCCAGGATTTATAAATAACGAATACACACTTAACAAATGAGGTGTTAATTGTAATGTATTGAGTTTATAGACAACCATAACAGGTGCGCAAACCCTGGATTTACTCAAAACAAAATGAAGCTTCCAACCACATAAAATGGAGATCAAATTAATAAGACAATACTGAAAATTTAACATAAATGTACAAAATCGATGTCAACCGTATTAGTACCCCATTTACAATAAGTTAGTGTAGATCACAAGTGGCACGAGGCAATACCCCAGAGAAAACAGATAAAAAATGGACTTGTTGTTCTCATATCTATATATCTCTACATACTATAGAATTCTCAATCAGTCAGTCGCAATGCAGAACCTAGTACGAATGCACATAGGGTCAAGTTGCCACACCCCGTTAGCAGGACGAAGGGAAAACCCATAGTTAGAGGTAATGACATTATTAGTGGTAATAGGAAAGATCAGGCATCAAAGATACGATTCAGGAAAATATAAATAAGTGAACTGAGTACGATAGTCCCAAAATTTTGGGTTACATTTTATTCATTCATATCAAAATGGGGAACTACATGGAATACAGAATTAAGATATCTGTTAGGAAGTCCAAAATATGAATATGCTTCTACATACTAAGAGATTTGTGAAGCGTGGCGAGTATATGACGATTAAAGCACTGGGATCTTAACAGGTCATAAATTCGAATCCCTTTTTATTTATTTTGATTACAGTAGCTGGATAATATCACTCGTTCCAATACAAACACCTGCGTTAAAGTTCTATCATTTACATTACCTTCATATAGGGATTTCGGTAGTTATTTTCTGATAAGATTTAATAAGCAATCAGCCGGATAAAGTAAACTTAGAAGGACTTCTGAATTACAGATAGTGTTTGGTGAATGTCATACAAAGACAAGTGATGGCTAGTTTCAACAAAGTATTAATTTCCAGCATCAAAGAAAGTTTGTGCTTTTGGTAGTCCCGTGTATCTTTAATCGTAAATCAAACTTACGTCTCGAGTTTTTTAAACTTCTTAGTTAAATTTTCTAATACACATTTTATGGCTGGTTGACTAGCAATCGGTTTTTAGAACTCCCACATACAATCTCAATGCTAAACGTTTTAAACGTTAAGGCTGTAAACCTAGAAAGAGGCCTAGTCAGAAGAAGGAAACTAATTTTGGTGCTACTAACCTTAGTGTTACATTACTAATATAATTCAATTTAAGCACCATTCTAACCGAGTATTTTTTTATTTAGAAGAAGCCATTGTTTATAGTTGGTGGTAACAATTAATAACAATGGAATCCAGTTTGATGCGCGTTTCGTCCTATCTGCGACTCATCAAATGGATGTATTTACATCTCAGAGTTGATATTCACTTTGGAACTGGAACTCAGTACTGTTCGCTTCAAACGACATCGTGTTATCCACTTAACTACTGAGTCTTGATAACAATTATTATTTTATACGAAACGAATTCATTTGATAAATAGATTAAATAATTGATCGATTTATTATTAAGATGACTTTTGTTTGTAAATATGCAATGTGAATATTTGGGCCACGTGTTACGTATGCCCGAACACCGACTACCACGACGTGCAATGCTAACCGGTGTTCGGGATGGTCGGAAGAAAGTTGGGGGCGACCAAACCAAAACGTGGCATCAATGCTTGGAGTCACTAACTTGTAGTCTGAGCCATGTTAGTAGATGCAGACTACTTGGTTGGGGTCCACGTGACTATCATAAGTAATGGTTGGAGACTCTGAGTGACATGACTCAGAGTCGATCACAACGGTGTAGGTGTATACACTCTTTTTCTTCCCTTAAACTATGAGATTAAAATCGCTATCTTTCTTTCTACGAACTAATTCTTTTTTCCTGTACTATATCTTTATATGCAATCTTTCTTTTATACATTACCATCATTGAATTAACTATTATAAATCCGGTGTTCGTCTTGTTGTGCTAATGAGGTGTGGCAACTTGGATCGACGTATATGTATGCTCTTACGTTGTAGCTGACTGACTGAGTTGTGTTACGTTTTTCACCATATCTAACAGTTAGCTATTGTTACTAAGTGTTGCGACAACTAAATCTGTATGCCGATAACCAAAGGTAAAAGCTACTGCCTGTTGAAACATGTTAATTGATAAACATCGTGTTATGAGAATTTCTGTCACATCATATACTGAACTAAGAGGTGCGAGTGAGTAAGAAAAAAGATAGTAACACAAACTTACGATATTACGTTTCTTTATTTTTTCACGTATTTGCTTAATAGGAGCCTTGATGTACACTAGTAGATGCGGTTTCCAGAGGTTGTTTATAGTCATCGTGTGATTTTGTTTGAACCATAATAATCCTACGGTTTTAAAAAGATATCAACAAAAATTTACCCCGTTCTGACAAATAATTGCACTTATGCATGGCTTCAGCGAATATAAACTCTGAAAACGGACTTCGGTCAATCACAACGCCTTGACCTGAGGAAGAGGATAGTACATATTTGAAATGTACCTGTATTAAATAAATGACATAATGCTCTTAAGTAATTCCAATAACGTCTTAAGTAGAAGTGGTATTGAAGATATAGTCCTTTTCCTTTATTTATGAGATCCGGTTCATTCCAAAACATTTCACATGTATAGTATTTTGCATAATCAGGAAGCAAAAAGTTGTGACAGCGAATATCAAAATTTGGCTCCACATTTCTATAAACATATATGTCGTCTTCAGTTGGGTCAGGAAAATACTCCATATCAAGATATTTAGCCAACTTAGCAGCGACGTTAGATTTTCCGGAGGCAATATTACCTTCGACCACTATTACTTTTGAATTATCGTTAAATCGGTCCATAGTTTTAGTATTATCAAATAGGAATCTTAGGTAATTATTTCCAGAGCCAAAGAAATCATAATTAGGTGGTTTGGCACGCTTTATACTGCCATCTACTGCAAGCTTCAATGTGCCGTAATAACATCCTTTTAATATTTTACCGCTCCTCTGCAACAGTCCTGAAACTCTATAGGTCATTTGCAGACAGTACTGCACAGCTTTGGATAATAGGTCTCCCTAAGGTCATTTATCATCCAATAATCAATATCTGTCTTCAGTCTTCAGTGGTAAGGATAGTAGGTTTATCGACCTATATTAATTCTTGTAATTTGCAACAACGAGGAGATTGAAATGGTTATGAACAATATATAAGAAGCTTTGGTTTAGAGGGCTTCTGTATCTAGTAGCAGTGGGCCGCCAATGTTTCCATGCAAAACACTAGGTATATTTAACGATAAAAGAGAAAACGGTTAGTAAATTATAGCGAAATAATGCTCTTGGTCCTTAAGAATATGTCAGGGTTTCGCTTAAAGGACTCGTGGGAAGTCACTTGAACTAGCTCACTCGGAAGCGAATTCCAGAATTCGACCACTCTTAAAGAGCGGAAGGTGTGCAGTGACTCACATTTATCACGAGAACACGACTGGTTTAATAAAAACAATTATTATTATAACTAACTGTACCAGTGCTTGTTTTAATGTGCTTTTGTTTGACTGTGCTAATGACAGCTATATTTTGCTTCCATTCTTATACTTACACTTTGATTGTAACTTCGCGCGAATTCGGTTACGTTCTGTAACCAAGCTTGTATCCTGGCACGATCTCGGTATCCTTTCGATACCACGAGATCGCCAGCAAATATATATCTCGATTTGGTCCATTAACTGTCTTCTGATATTTGGCTTCTCGGAGATTTTATGGGTTTCTTTGGTTACGTCCAACCTTCGCCTTCTGATTTATTTGGCACGTGTTTCTTGGTAGCGGTGTTCATAGTCAACCGCGACTCGACGCCACGCTACAGTTGTGTCTACAGTATGTTCTGTTGTGTTGTGACTCTAATTTTTGTGTGGTGCCCATGACTTTTATGTTGAGACTAGGTTTAAGTAGGTGATTAATGGGGTGCTCGGAAATTTTTAGGATGCTGTAAGTCATTGGGTCACCTCTAAGACTTCTGTACTCTAATGAAGTAAAGGTCCAGTGATTGGAGGCACTCCGGCGAGACTATAATTTACCTTTAGAAAAGAGCTACCCAAGTTGTATTCGTAGTCTGCAACATGTTTCAGATGGACTATTTTGCTCTTTGAAGTGTTAAAGGTAAGTCCGTCTGCTCAATTTTGAAGTCGAGTGAGAACTTCCTGAAGTACTAAATTATCCTCTTAGTTGCAAACTTCTCCCTGGAGTCTTATATTATCAGCGAAGAACACTAAACCCGATGGTGCCTGTTTCGGAAAATCGCTTACATAAACGGCTTATGTTTGGAAATTTGAACCCGTAGTTGGTCCCATAATTTGCTAGGTCAAGCATTTGGCTTTCGTCAGAAGAACTAATAAACTCTCCCGACCCTCTTAATGTTGCTTAAAAGGTTTTTCTGCTGCCAAGACAGCTGTTCTAATTCCTAACATAATGGCAGGAATTCTGTCCATAAAGTGGGGTCTGACCGTGGTATTAGAGCGGCTTTTAGCTGATGGCACAAGCGTTTACCAGCCTATTGGCCTGAAGATGATACGTTGTGCAATGTATTTTATGAGCTCATAGAAATTTTGACAAGTTGTTGAATAGCTCAAATTCGAACTAGACCCCTTCGTCAGTTATTGTTGTGAAAGACGTCAAAGAGTGGGGACCCATTTCTGAATGAAATCTCTGGCCGCTTTTGGGCTGTGATATAAATTGTTGGTGCGGCCGGCTGGAACCTTGTGAACTTAACTGTCCATCTAAACGAATATATAGGTAAATGAATCAATAAAACCACTAGAATAAGTTCCGTGAGATTTAGAATTTACTGGAAATATTTAACAGGTGAGCAAATTAGGAGAAGCTTTCGTTCGAAACCTGCATTTCTGAGAAGAATACAATTGGTTAATATGTGCTTCCAACCATCCGCTTTAGGCGTCCTCTTCTTCTTTGTCTGAAGATTCTACCATTAGGCAGAGAGGAATTGGGATCTAGAAGCTCCAACATACATACTTGGGTTAGCTTGTTCTTTAGATCATTCACAGCCTTAGTAGCCCCATAAATCAGCTTAAAACCCTTTGCTTTAAGTCTACTGGAATCTGTCAACAGATACACTTTTTATGCACAACTGAGTATCAGTCGTCGATGAAATTTAGCTAGACCCGAAAACTTTCTACGTTGTGTTAAATAACTTGGTATAGGATTTTATTCAATAGTTTCTGCCTTCTGGGACTTTATACATTCAGGAAGTCTCAGAGTTTGAACTCTGAAAACACCTATGTTGGTGTGCTTTCATTTTTACCTGATTACTTTAATCCGACTCACATGTTATTCATGTAATTTCAAATCAAGACCGTCGATCAAAAACTTATCAATATGCTCCCGTGCAAAGGGCATATCTCGAAGCAAGTCGTTCACAAGCACCTTAAACTTTTGTACCGCATCTCTCAGGACAGATGTCATGCGCGCAAGCTCCAACAATCCAGAGTACGTGGTAATAACTGTCTTGGGAACACCTTTCTCAGCTAATGGGATATTGTGATATGTCCTCGATCATTTTTGGTGAATATGATTGTACTCTGTAGGCCGTCTGTAAAATCTTGGATATGAAGTACCGAACACCTACCTAGTACGGTTCGACAGTTAAGGGATTTATAATTGCTGCATGGTCTCCTATCACCTTCATCTATCTACGAGACTGTATGTGGAGGTGATTCTCACTGGCCACTAGACGAACGGACAACACTCAACTACTGCATATATTCAGGTTCGGCCCTGACAGTCTTACGTTCGCCAGGTTATAACCTCCTGTATAAGTTACTACTAGCTTACTTTTGGAATACCGAGCTTGGTTTGATGAGGTTTGGAAATTTTGCGTGTATATCTTGGAACGCTGCAGCTCTTATCAACGTATTCTATACCACACTTAAAAAATGACTTGACTTCGTTTGTCTTTCGCCTAGCTCACAGTTTCTTTAAACGTCAATTGACATTTCTTTGTATCGACTAGGTATTCATATCTTTCATATCTCTCAGTGGTATTGGATCCAAATTAGCTAAGGTAAACACCTAGGGGAGTAGACTCTTAAGTCCCAAAACTGGTGTCAACGTTTTCTTTAGTTTTATTGGTAGCTTGAAGTTAGGTCTTTTGCTGAGGAGAAGAAATGTGACTTAGGTTAGATGGTGGTGGGAAGAATCCCAAAGTTGTGAATTTTCGAATGATGAAACCTTGGCAGAGGATGATGCTGAAGCCTCTCTGGGTGAAGCACGAATCCATTTAAATGGTTTTCAGATCTATCTTACAAATACTCGAAGTTTTCTCAGTGAGCGATCAGTGTTAGGTGTACAGGTAGATTCTACCAAACCATATGTGAATACAGTCATGGAAACCTGGTTGACACAGCTTTTGGACAGTATAGAATCTGACTTTGAAAGTTTCACATTCGTAAGAGTCGACAGAATCCGGAAGCATAAAAGAAGAATGTCTCTATTCGTTTGAGATACCAACTTGTTTACTGTTAAAAAAATAACATATCCAACGAATGTGCGATGTGAAAATTAGCTAGTTACCGCTTGCGATACAAAGAATAAGAGCTGTTGATTGGTGTGGTTTACTGCAGTCCAAGCTATGATGCGAGAGAGGTCTTGCTAGACAGCTTCAATACTTGGTCACAAAGTGGTTGATATTCAATCTCAGGAGACTGCAATACAACTACAGTAGGCTGAAAAAATCTGAGAATTTGATTATTGGAACATTCCTTCGAACAGGATCTAGTTGATACAGTCATCACATGTGTACTAGTGCAACATGTGAAAGAAGCGACTAGGAACGACCCAGACTCCAAATTATCCGTACTAGATCTCTTACTTACCCATTGTGAGTATGACGTCACAAAGCTTATTATATGCCACCATTGGTTAAAGGTGATTATGCAGTTCTGGTTTTTGATTTCCATATTATTATCAAAAACTAGCATGTGTCAGCTCATACCTGACGTAACGTCTAGGAAGCAAATATACGAGGCATTATACACACAGCATCCTCAGTAGATTAGTCCCCATTGAAAGGGCTTGGGAAGCATCCAGAAGTTTGTACTTAGATGTCACTGCGACTCACATCCATGAGACTACACCAAGAGGTCCTGAAACTACCCACAATGGCCCAATAAAGTGTTCCTCTCCCCTCTTCGAAAGAGGAGAACGTGGGAGAGATTTAGGTTACTGGTTTCTGAGAGGAACGAAATCTCAATATCGAAAAGGTCGAAATATTTGTGCCTCAACCCTTCACAAGTTTAGGAGGCTGTCTGAAGAATAACTTAATAAGGAATTTAAAAAAATGCCCAAAACGCTTATATTCGTAAATAAACCAAAGGACTGAGAGAAGAGAATATATTCCAGCATTATGGGAAGATAGTAGTGTTTTAGCATTGGTGGAGGGCGACTACGGAAAACCTCAGGTATTCTCGAACTAATTTAGAAATGTGTATATCGTAGAAGCACCCGTCCCTTCAGTTCATACAAGACAACCCCACACACATACATACACACTGCACACTGTGACCATTAAAGAAGTCCATGTATTCGGTCTGCTGAACGAGCTTAATAAAAACAAATCCATGGGAACCGATGAAATGTATCCTAGGTTACCAAATGAACTAGCGAGTTTCGTCGCGAATCCCTCAAGAATATATTCTAATCTATCTGTAACCCAGGGTCGATTACCAAAATACTAGAGGAAGGCCATAGTAATTCCTGTCTTCAGAATAAGTACGAAACATGAACCCGAGAACTATTGACTCGTAAGTCTAACTAACGAGGTTGTTAAAATTTTAGAAGAGATTATCTCGAAGGAGTTGTCCAAGTACCTCGATGAAAACCGGATTCTTCCTGAAAAGCAACATGGCTTTAGAACAGGTTATTCCTGTCTCACTGAGTTAGTGGTAGCCCATTAAAGTTGGTGCGCCCTTAATTATAAAATGTTATCCACAGACGCAGCCTACATTGACTTCAGCAAAGCCTTTGACAAGGATACTCACAATTGGCTTTTATGTAAGTTAGGTAATATCGGGGTTGGGAGCAATTTATCAATGTGGATAAAAGACTTCCTGGTTGGGCTTCAGTAAGGATGTAGAATTATGGTCTACAATGATATTA